TTTCTTGGCCACCTGGGCACACTGCTGGCTCATCTTCAGCCCACAGGCCACCAACACCCCCAGGTCCTTTTCTGCCCGGCAGCTCTCCAGCCACTCTGCCCCCAGCCTGTTGAAGCCATTGCCCCTCGTCCTGTCACTGCAGGCCTTTCTAAACAGGCTCTCCCCAGCCTTCCTGTAGCCCCCTCAGGTACTGGAAGGCTGCTCTTAGGTCTCCCCGGAGCCTCCTCTTCTCCAGGCTGAACAACCCCAGCTCCCTCAGCCTGTCCTCGGAGCAGAGGTGCTCCATCCCCCTCATCATCCTCGGGGCCCTCCTCTGGACCCTCTCCATCAGGTCCATGTCCTTCTTCTATTGAGGGCTCCAGACCTGCACACAAGACTCCAGGTGAGGTCTCACCAGAGCAGAGTCAAGTGGCAGAATCCCCTCTCTGGACCTGCTGGCAACGCAGCTTTTGATGCAGCCCAGGATGGGATTGGCCTTCTGGGCTGAGACATCATCTCCTCCAACCTCCTGCCAAAGCAGGGTCACTGTCCTGGGTTGAGTGACACGGGAATAATTTCTTAATGCTGGGAAAAACTGCACTTTTAGAAGATTCCTGAAAATATTTCCTTTATAGCCAGCAATGGGATGTGGGATTCAAGGTCTCAGTGTTTTCCAGCTCTGTGTGGGGACGAGGAGGAGCGAGACCCGGGCACTTGACCCAAGCTGCCAACGGGGTTATTTCATACCTCGAATGTCACATTCAATATAAATTAGAAAGTTTGCTGTGTAGCTCTCTCTCTCTCTCTCTCTCGATGGTGGTGGCCCAGAGAACTCCTTGTCCTGATGCCAGAGCCCTGAGCCCTTCCCTCCCTCCCGAAACCGCAGCGCTCACAGGGTCCCACATGGTCTGTCCCTGCGGGGAGGAAACATCTTCCTCTGATGGAATGGGTTGAGGATAGTCCTGGTATATTTTATATTAGTATTGGGATTAATACTGGCTCTTTGGTATTATTCTTAATTATTTAGTCTTCTATTACATCTATTTATATTTCAACCCTGGTGTTTCCTTGCTTTCCCCGATTCCCCTTTCTGGGTGGGGAGGGCTCATGGGGTGAGAGAATAATTATCTAAATGACAATAAATTATCAGGGCTTTTCTCAAACCGTAACGGTCACCCAGGGTGGGATCCTGGGTGGGTTTGGAACCTCTCCAGAGAAGGAGACCCCACAACTTCTCCGGGTGGGCTGTTCCAGGGCTCTGCCACCCTTGAAAGAAAGAATTTTTCCCCTCGTGTTTGGAATTTAACGCGCCCGAGGTGGCTGAGGAGCCCGAGACCCGCAGCACTTTGCACGACAGGATTCCTCTGGCACAAGGACTGGAGATGCTCTTTGCTGGATAAATCTTTAATGGCTCCACTCATTTTAAAAACGCCCCGGCGTAAGCGTCCCCGTCGTTGGTCGACTGGGGGTGTTGGTGGCCTGTGGGCTGAACAGGAGCCAGCAGTGTGCCCAGGTGGCCAAGAAAGCCACCAGCATCCTGGCCTGTGTCAGGACCAGCATGGGGAGGAGGGCCCAAGAGGTGATTGTCCCCCTGTACTGGGCACTGGTGAGGCCTCACCTCGAGTGCTGTGTCCAGTTTTGGGCCCCCTACCATAAAAAAGACATTGAGGTGCTGGAGCGGGTCCAGAGAAGGGCGACAAAGCTGGTGAGGGGTCTGGAGAATAAGTCTGATGAGGAGAGGCTGAGGGAACTGGGGGTGTTCAGCCTGGAGAAGAGGAGGCTGAGGGGAGACCTTCTTGCTCTCTCCAACTCCCTGAAAGGAGGGTGTAGAGAGATGGGGGTCGGTCTCTTTTCTCAAGTCACAGGCGACAGGACGAGAGGAAATGGCCTCCAGTTGCGCCAGGGGAGGTTCAGGCTGGATATTAGGAACAATTTTTTCACTGAAAGGGTTCTCAGCCCTTGGAATGGGCTGCCCAGGGAGGGGGTTGAGGCCCCATCCCTGGAGGTGTTCAAAAGCCGGGTTGATGTAGTGCTGGGAGATATGGTTTAGTGATGATGCTCCTTGTTTGTTGTGGGGGTGTCTATTTTTGTCAGTTGGGTTGACGGTTGGACAAGATGATCTTTAAGGTCCCTTCCAACCTAGAAGATTCTGTGATTCTGTTGTCAGGGTGCAGAACTGGGGCTCGGGGTCTGAAGCCAGGTTGTTTCTAGTAATTGGGCAAAGTATTTATTGTTGAGCACCTCTGGAAAACAAAAAAATAATGTAATGCTGGAGTAATGAGATGGGATTAACGACTCCTGTGCTACTGGTGAAATCCCTCCAGGTGGAAAAGGGGCAGCTCCCGGGGCTGTGATTCCGTGCTGCGTCTTGGGGTCTCTCTGTGGTTCTTCCAGCTTCTTTGTGGTGTCAAACTGGTTTTCCCTTTCACCAACAGGATTACTACAGTGGTGGGTACTACCAGGAGATGGAACCGGCCCAGGCGGCGCCGCAGGAGATGAGCAACGACTCCTCCTTCATAGATGACGAAGCGGTTGGCACTTTATTGTCTCCCCTGCTCCCAAGTTTGCCTTTCAGCTCTTACCCCATTCTTACCCCACAGTCCTGCCCCGCAGCACGACCTGGCTCGGGTTGTTCTTCCCTGGGGTCTAGCGTTGGGCTACTGACCCGTCGGGCTACTGCTCCAGATGGGTTTCTTTGCTTTTTAAGTAGGTGATATTTATTATTTCCCCCGAGCTCATTCTCTTGAGGGGTTTTTGGGGCAGACAAGGTGCATAGAGCGAAGACGGTGGTGGCTGAGGTGCTGATACCTTCATGGTGTATCCTCTGGCGCGGTGGTGAGCTCCCCGCTTAGTTCAAATACTCAAAAAGTTGCTCAAAAACCCCAAACTCTTCCTATTTTTGATCTAATCTAGAAACTTGGCAGCCTGCTTAGCTGAGCCAGTCGGGGCTGGGGAAGAGAGTAGCCCATCTGGTGCTCGCTGCTTTTTGGGAATGACTAAAAAGAGGGGCCTCTTCTTGCTTTGGGGGTGGATTTGTGTTCTGTGGGAGGTGGTTTGTGAGCCTCAAACGCTTCAGGTGCCTCCTTAGCGCTTAAAACAAGACACTCAGGAGCCCGAGGGTCTTCCGAGCAAGGCTGAGGAGAAGAGTAAATGCTGTTTAAATGAGGAAAATGAGATTATAACCTCAATGCTGAATAGTTTTAAGATATTATGACGTATAACAAAGCAGAGCTCTCCTGAAGAGAACAAATCCTGCTTGGAAAATTGTTCATTGACGCGGCGTGTCCCCTGCTCGGGGAGCTGAGCCCTGGAGCCCATCTGCTTCTGCCTGTTTGGGGTCGGGGTTGGTGTTTGGGGTCAGGCGTTGGGGTTTGGGGTCGGGGTTGGTGTTTCATAGAATTGCCCAGGCCGGAAGGGACCTCCAAAGGCCATTTAGTCCCACCCCCCCGCAGTCAGCAGGGACACCCCCAACTAGACCAGGTTGCCCAGGGCCTCATCGAGCCTCTCCTTGAATATCTCCAGGGAAGGGGCCTCAACCACCTCCCTGGGCAACCTGTTCCAGTGCTCCACCACCCTCACAGTGAAGAACCCTCTCCTCATCTCCAGTCTAAATCTGTTCCCCTCCAGCTTGAAGCCATTGCCCCTCGTCCTGTCACTGCAGCCCTTTCTAAACAGGCTCTCCCCAGCCTTCCTGTAGCCCCCTCAGGTACTGGAAGGCTGCTATTAGGTCTCCCCGGAGCCTCCTCTTCTCCAGGCTGAACAACCCCAGCTCCCTCAGCCTGTCCTCGGAGCAGAGGTGCTCCATCCCCCTCATCATCCTCGTGGCCCTCCTCTGGACCCTCTCCATCAGGTCCATGTCCTTCTTCTATTGAGGGCTCCAGACCTGCACACAAGACTCCAGGTGAGGTCTCACCAGAGCAGAGTAAAGTGGCAGAATCCCCTCTCTGGACCTGCTGGCAACGCAGCTTTTGATGCAGCCCAGGATGGGACTGACCTTCTGGGCTGCAAGGTCCCACTGCCTGCTCATGTCCAGCTTCTCCTCCACCAGCACCCCCAAGTCCCTTTCCTCAGGGCTGCTTTCCAATCCCTCACCCCCCAGTTTGTATTGGTGGCGAGGATTGTTCCGGCCCAGGTGCAGAACCTTGCATTTGCTCTTGTTGAACCTCATGAGGTTCACCTGGGCCCACCTCTCCAGCCTGTCCAGGTCCTTTTGGATGACATCCCGTCCCTCTGGTGTATCCACAACACCACACAGCTTTCAGGCACGCCTGCAACCCCGTTTGTTTCTCTTCTCCTTCCAGTTCAAGCGCCTCCAGGGCAAACGGAACCGAGGGAGGGAAGAGATCAACTTTGTGGATATCAAAGGTGATGACCAGCTGAGCGGAGCCCAGCAGTGGCTGACCAAATCCTTAACTGAGGAGAAGACCATGAAATCCTTCAGCAAGGTACGGGCTGGGAGGAGGAGGAGGCGCTGCTTGGGATTGTGAGACCTCGTCAGGGGGACAGAGACCCCCTGTTGTATAAAAAAATTCCCCGTGAGAGACCAGTAGAGCATTTCAAACACAGTCCCAGCGTGGTAGAGACCAGCCAGGAGCTGTTTGAGCCCAGTGTGGTAGAGACCAGCCAGGAGCTGTTTGAGCCTAAGGAATCTGCCCAGAGATATTTAATACGAGACAAATGGTTTTTGTGTGAGCTCTTGTTTCGATGTCTTGAGTCAGCTCCTTTCCGGGCTTAACGATTCGCCCACTTTTGCTTTCTAGAAAAAAGGAGATCAGCCCACGGGGCAGCAGAGGAGAAAACACCAGATCACGTACCTGATCCATCAGGTGAGTGGCCTCCCCGTAGTGTTGGAAACTCCTCCAGGTGGAATTCCAAGGGCTGATACTGGGCAGAGCTGGGGGAACTGGGAGCCATCCCCGACTGAGGCCGCTCCGAGCGAGCCCTGGGGGAGGGCCTGACTAGGCCTCGCCTGATCTGACAAGGCCTAACTTGGCCTGGATTGACTGAGCCCACGGTGGCTGTGCTGGGGGATGTCCTGGCCACTGCTGGCCCAAACACCCTCCTGGTAGAGCCCTGAGCATGTCACAACCCTGAGTTTTTAGCTTTTTTTTTGCTTTGCATCACTCTGTGCGTGTGTGGTTGTGTGTTCCGAGCCTCTCGGCTTCCTGTCTCCGTGGCGGTTGGCGAGCGGCTGCCGAGAGCCCGTCCCACAAAGAGAAGCTGCTTTTTCAGCCTTGAATGAAATGCCCCAAATTAATTCAAAGCCTCTGTCAAAGATAATTGTGCTCAACTCCTGGAAGGGGGAGGCTTCTCACTGGAGCGCCGTCGCCCTCAGCGGGGGCAGAGGAGGGCAGGAGGCTGCTGAGTCAGCGAACGGGCAGCGCTGATGATGTGTTTAATCCTCTCCCTTTCTGCAGGCGAAGGAGAGAGAACTGGAACTGAAAAACACATGGTCTGAAAACAAGCTCAGCCGACGCCAGACTCAAGCCAAATACGGATTCTAACACCCTCTTGGCCCGTTTTTTTTTTTTGGCTGGTGACCCTCTGGGTCAAACATCTCCTGGAGATCAACAGGGCCCCCCTCCTCCGTGGTCTGCTGGGTGGGCAGGGGGGGCTCCGAGAGAGGTTTCGTGCGAGCCGGTCCTGAAACTCCACCTGTAATCTTTCCCCTTCCCTCTTCTGAATGATAACGTGGAAGGTTCAAAGCAAATCTGTCCCCCCTGGATGGTGACAGTCCCCAAGGCAGCTGTGGGAAAGGTGCCCAAAGCTTCTGGCTTGTAGCTCCGGGGGCTCCTCCTCTGCTGGAACTTTGGGCAGAGTCTCCAGAAATGCTCCCAATTCCCGCTTTCCTCCTTCCTTGGACTCACTGCACGTTGAAAGTGTTAATTTTTCTTTCCGAAAGACAGTGAGTTTCAAGAGCCTGGCTTTTTTTTTTGTTGTTGTTCAAAAAAGAAAGAAAAAAATCCTTTTATTTTTATCCTCACGGCTGTGAGTAACTCCGCCGCTCCTCCCATGTGAACGACTCGGATAATTGGAGTATTTTGATTATTTTTTTTTTAATTTTTGAAAGGGTGGTTAAGGCGGTGTGTTTGTCCTCAGCTCCTCCAGTGTCTCCACCCACGCTGAGGGGGAAACTCCTTTGCAGGTTGGATCTTGCCGTAGAGAAAACTCCTGGAGCGTGGAACGCACAATTAATAAAAAGCAGCCGGGATCCCTCTCCCAGCACGAGGGCTTTTGGATAACCCTGCTCCGTGTGTGTACGTACCCTTTTCCTTTCCCTCTTTTTCCCTCTTTTTCCCTTTTTTTCCTCTTCCTCCCCCTTCCCCAAGCCCCCCGGTGCTGTTCCAAGCCACCCCCTGGACTTTTTGAACCCGTTATTCCGCACGGCGCAGAGCGGTGAAGCCGCAGCCTTTCCTCTGAGCTCAGATGAAAGCTGCCAACTGTACATTTATTTTTATTTCCATTTTAGTTCCGCCTTGTTTGTATCAATCCTCTTTCAATTAAGTGTTAAACCTTTCCCCTCCTGGCTCGGGAAGAGGAGACCGTGTCCGGCCTTAACATTTTTTTTTTTCTTTTTAATTTTTTCCCCTCCGGAGTGAAAAAAATCTTGCTTATTTTGAATCCCTTCAATCTTTATGAAAGGGATTTCGAAGCGATAACGACCGCGAATCAAGTGTGACCTCGCTGGCCACATCCACCCATCGTTAGCCCAAATCTCTGGGGCTTCCATTCCTCCTTCACCCAAGGGAAGGGAGAGCTGGGTTATTTAACTTCACATTCCCACTGCTGAGGGCTTCTATTTCTTGTAACCGTGGCTAAGATTTGTTATTCCATTTAGGGAAAAAACTCCCTAGAGGTTGTTTTTTTTTTTTTTTTCTCCCCGTTACCTGTTAAAAAAAAACAAGCGAAACCCCCCGGAATGAAGTCTTTTCTTAGAATATTTTAAAAATTGAAAAAAAAAAAAAAAAAAAAAGGATCTGATTTTCTTAGTTTAGTTCCCTGGATGTTTTAGTACTTTGCAGAGCCCGTTTTTTTGAGTATTTGAATGAGCGGAATAAAGTTACTGTTGAGTAATTTATTCATATCTTATATGTACAGTGAAATCCTCTGAAAAGAGATTTGATAAAAGGAATAAACTTTTAAAATGAACCGAACCCGCGCCCCGTTTCCATCCCCGAGGTGCTCGAGGTGTTGCTTTTCCTTCTCCTCACCGGTAAGGCCCAAGGATTCCCCGCAGCCTGTGTTTTTTGGGGTGATTTCCCTCGGTTTATTGGCGGTGGGTAACAAAAATGTTCCCCGGAGGGCGTTGGGGGGTGCCCCAGCCCTGGGTTTGTGCCCCCCCCCGTGGGTTCTCCCCCTTGAAAACGCTGAGTATTTGTGGAGTTGTGGATTTGTGGGGTCGTGGAACGAAGAGAGGGGCTGAACCTCATGGGGTTCCCCCTTTTCTTTTGCCGTTTTGGTGTGCGATGGCTCATTTTTAGCACCAGAAGGGAGTTAGGAAGAGGGGGATCAATGATTTTAGCTGTTTGAAGAGCAGGAAAATGTAGGATTGTGAAAAGTGAACACGATTTTTTTTCCCCCGAGAGTTAAAAAAACCCGACTCCAACCCCACAACCCTCCTTTTTCCCCCCAGTCTCAACGCTCAGACACCCCCTCGAGGGCTTTTCTGCTCCGTTTGGCTCCGTGTCGTTTCGGTCGGGGTTTCACACACCTCGGGGCAGCACCAGGGTCACTGTCACCCACCCAACAGCTGAATTTTACCCTTGGATTTGGTGCTGATCTGGTGTTTTGTGGCCGAGGAAATGGGTAGGGCTTGGAGGTGTCACTGGAGTCACTGTCACTGACCCAGAGGTTGAATTTTGTCATTGGATTTGGTGCTGATCCCGTGGTTTTTGGCTGAGGAAACTTGGAGGTGCCACCAGGGTCATTGTCACTGACCCAGAGGTTGAATTTTACCCTTGGATTTGGTGCTGATCCGGTGGTTTGTGGCCAAGGAAATGGGTAGGGCTTGGAGGTGTCACTGACCTCACTGTCTGCGCCCCAGGTTGAATTTTGTCCTTGGATTTGGTGCTGACCTGGTGTTTTGTGGCCGAGGCAATGGGTAGGGCTTGGAGGTGTCACTGACCTCACTGTCTGCGCCCCAGGTTGAATTTTGTCCTTGGATTTGGTGCTGACCTGGTGTTTTGTGGCCGAGGCAATGGGTAGGGCTTGGAGGTGTCACTGACCTCACTGTCTGCGCCCCAGGTTGAATTTTGTCCTTGGATTTGGTGCTGATCCGGTGTTTTTTGGCCAAGGAAACAGCATAGGGCTTGGAGGTGTCACTGACATCACTGTCACCGCCCCAGGTTGAATTTTGTCCTTGGATTTGGTGCTGATCCGGTGTTTTGTGGCCAAGGAAATGGTTAGGGCTTGAGGTGTCGCTGGAGTCACTGTCACCCACCCAGCAGCTGAATTTCACCCTTGAATTTGGTACTGATCCCCTGGTTTTTGGCCAAGGAAACAGCATAGGGCTTGGAGGTGTCACTGACATCACTGTCACCGCCCCAGGTTGAATTTTGTCCTTGGATTTGGTGCTGATCCCGTGGTTTTTGGCTGAGGAAACTTGGAGGTGCCACCAGAGTCACTGTCACTGACCCAATGGTTGAATTTTACCCTCAGATTTGGTGCTGATCCGATGTTTTGTGGCCGAGGAAACCGGTAGGGCTTGGAGGTGTCACTGGAGTCACTGTCACCGACCCAACAGCTGAATTTTGTCCTCGGATTTGGTGCTGATCCCATGGGTTTTGGCTGAGGAAACTTGGAGGTGCCACCAGGCTCACTGTCACCGACCCAGTGGTTGAATTTTGTCCTTGGTTTTGGTGCTGATCCCCTGGTTTTTGGCTGAGGAAACTTGGAGGTGCCACCAGGGTCATTGTCACCAACCCAGAGGTTGAATTTTACCCTTGGATTCGATGCTGATCCCCTGGTTTTTGGCCAAGGAAACAGATAGGGCTTGGAGGTGTCACTGAGATCACTGTCACCCACCCAACAGCTGAATTTTACCCTTCGATTTGGTGTTGATCCAGTGTTTTGTGGCCGAGGAAAGGGGTAGGGCTTGAAGGTGTCGCCAGGGTCACTGTCACCGACCCAACAGTTGAATTTTACCATCGGATTTGGTGCTGATCCCGTGGTTTTTGGCTGAGAAAACAGACAGGACTTGGAGGTGTCACTGAGATCACTGCCACCGACCCAATGGTTGAATTGTATCCTTGTTTTTGGTGCCGATCTCGGGTTTTTTGGCCGAGGAAAGGGGTAGGGCTTGGAGGTGTCACTGAGATCACTGCCACCGACCCAATGGTTGAATTGTATCCTTGTTTTTGGTGCCGATCTCGGGTTTTTTGGCCGAGGAAAGGGGTAGGGCTTGGAGGTGTCACTGAGATCACTGTCACCGACCCAACAGTTGAATTTTACCATCGGATTTGGTGCTGATCCCCTGGTTTTTGGCTGAGAAAACAGACAGGACTTGGAGGTGTCACTGAGATCACTGTCACCGACCCAATGGTTGAATTTTATCCTTGTTTTTGGTGCCGATCTCGTGTTTTTTGGCCGAGGAAAGGGGTAGGGCTGGGAGATGTTGCCCTGGGGCTCGTGATCCTCAGTGTGGCTGCGGCCTCACCCCAGTTTGTGGCTATTTAATGGCTGGATGCACTGGCCGTGCCCCAAAAAACCAGCTGGTTTTACTCTAATGGCCTTTTTCCGCCCTGGTTCTATTAATAGAAATCTCCTTCCAAATGTGTTGGGAGAGAAATTAAAATGCCTTTCCCCTCTTAACTCTGGCCGGGCGTGGGAATCCCAGTATATCCCAGTATGGAGCTGGTACCACTGGTGGTTTGCAGAGGGGGGCTGATAGTGGCCTTGGACCTCTCCGGGTGATGATGGAGGTTCCTCCTGGGAGCTTGGGTCTTGGCCAAGACCTTCCCACCTCAGGGCTGGTCTCCCAAAAGCTGCTCGTAGATGTTTTCGGGACCTTCCTGCCCTCTCCCTCTCCCGTTCCTCCCTGTGTTGCTCATCCTCCGGCCATAAACGGGGTCATCAAACTCCCGTGAGGGGTTGACCCCCCCACCCTGTGGAGAAGTGGAGAGGAACCCCCCTGAGACCCTGCCTTTGACCCCAGAACCGGGGCAGGGTTGAAAGTTGGGTCCTTCCCCCCTCAACTTTCCTCCCGCTTCGGTTGGGGGACGGCGCCCTGGGTGGGGGGTGCCCCCTTTTCCCCCCATCACCCTGATGTTGGAGTTGGGGGGGGGAAACCCTGACCCACCAGCCCCTTGGGGAAGGTCTGAGCTTTGGGGCAAAGAGGGGTTTTACCTCCTCGGCCGCGCTGGAGGCTCCTCTCTCCTTCCCCAAGGTGGTGGGAGCTGCTGGGAGGTGCCTCCCCTTGAAGGCCTGGCTGGAGACGCTGCGGAAGAGCCGCCGGTGGGGGTGGGATTTGGGGGGCAGCGTGGAAAAGGCCCCCGGGGACCCCCTGGGGAAGGAAAGGGGCAGATCCTGCCCGGCCGAGGCCACCTCGGAGTAGATGTTCTCCTCGGGGCCGGAGGTGGAGCCCCGGCCCATGGCGTAGAAGGGGATGGGGTCTCCCAGTTGGCGGGAAGGGGGGGCACTGGGGGCTCGGACCTCGCGGGGCTCGGCGTAGGTGTGGAAGCACAGGAGCTGCTGGTACTTGGCGTCAGGGGGCTCTGGGGGGGCCACGGGGTCCGTCTCCCCCTCGGCGTGGGGACCCTCGGGGGCTGCTCCGCCGTCGGCCGCGCTGCGCCGT